CAATAGCATGCCGACTGTTGAGGGCTGTAGGTGCTCAGACCAGCGCGTCTCTACCCGTCCCCCTTTCCCGCACGCTTCTTGCCAACGACAATATAAAAGTGTCGAGCATCAGGAGGTGACCCATGTTGAGCACTATGTCACCATCAAGCTCTAGTGCAAGAATAACGCTGAATTCTCCCTCGTACGTGCGCCATGTAAGCAATCCTGGAGCCCAAACGAGCTTTATGTGAAAATCGGCGGAGATCGGCCAGGATTACAGGGTGCCAGTTTCAGGGATTTTAAGGTTAGGGTTTGATTCAGACTTCGCATACGAATTCAGGTTGAACTTTTCTCAAACAACAAATATACAAAATTCTTAAGGAAATCCTTTTTTTAGGCTAAACCTACGAAAATCTTTTGACTCTTGAATCGATCGGCGGCATTATTATCTGCCTTTTTTTGGGGTGGAAGCATGTTATCCAACCCGAATGGCCAATGCTGTCACTTGCGTATTGAGTTTTTTCATAGCAGCGATCCCCGTGCACAGCACAGACCGTTGACGAGCAAGCGCATTCCCCCACCCATCTCTGCTCGTCCGTTTAGCCGTGCAGATCGCGAGTTCTCGACTCGGAGCACCAAAATCCAAAACTTCCAGAGACCGCGCCTCGCTGCTGTATAGTACTGTAGTGGAGTGTCCTCTGCTCCACGTTCTGATCCGACAAGCGAGCAACTCTGCAGCGGAGTCGGCCCAAACATGTTGCGCGGCCCGGCCCATTCCGTGCCGGCGACCGCCGCCGCCGCCGGCGGCGGCGGGCAGCCTCTGGTGGTGACGCTCAACTGCCTCGAGGACCCGTCGGTGGAGCGGGACGCGCTGGCCGGCGCGGCGGCCGTGGAGCACGCACCGCTCTCTGCGCTCGCCTCGGGCCACGTCGAGGCCGCCGCGGCCGTGCTCCTCACCTCTCTCGCCTTCCTCCCGCGCGCCGCGCAGCGCCGGCTCCGGCCGTGGCAGCTGCTGCTCTGCTTGGGATCCCCCGACCGCGCCGCGGACGCCGCAGCGGCCGCGGAGCTCGGCCTCCGTCTCGTCCACGTCGACGCCAACCGCGCCGAGGAGATCGCGGACACCGTCATGGCGCTCTTCCTCGGCCTCCTCCGCCGCACCCACCTGCTGTCCGGGCACGCGTCCTCCTCCACGCCGTCCGCCGGGTGGCTCGGCTCCGTCCAGCCGCTGTGCCGCGGCATGCGGCGCTGCCGTGGGCTCGTGCTAGGCATCGTCGGCGTCAACGCCGCCGCGCGATGTCTCGCCACCCGCAGCCTCGCCTTCCGCATGAGCGTGCTCTACTTCGATCCGCTCTACGAGGTATCGGATCCGCTATTTCTGCGCTTATAAACCTCTGATCTACACTGCTAGGTTTTTACAGTTAAATTGTTTTGTTAGCTTACTTTTCTTCTGTTAATGTTTAGCTCTAGCATTGTTCTATGGTTCTTGTTCGTTGCTAGTTTGGGTGGTTTTGAAGACTTCATAGTAACTAATTGTTCGTTAACTTCCAGCATTTGTTTCATAATATATATGTTATCAAATTTCTGGCATTTAGTGTATTCTACCCTCCTGCTAGCTGTTACTTATGAGTGTATCTTGTAAGATTATCGTCCTATTTTTGTATGCTAAAGTTAAATCATTGCATTCCTTTATTTATAATTTTGTATGCTAAAGTAACTCACGATAAGAATCAGTAAAGATGATCAGACAGTCTGAATTTTGTTGATATTCTGTATGCCCTTTTAGGAGTGATCTGATCTTGTCTCTAGAGCTAAAAACTCAATTTATCGTTTTTCACAACAACCTGTCTCACGAGTAGTTTATGTTAGTATGACCACATGAACATAAATTTATGTTTTATGGCGGAATTAGTATCTACACAAGGAATTTCTCAGCTTTTGTTATGTTTCTTCATACAATAAATTGTACCCCATGTAAGTATGTATCAGAGTTAAAGGACCACGCTGATTTCCAACTGTTAAACATTTTGTGAAGGGTGCGGGCAAAACAAAGCGGCCTTCCATTGTATTTCCTTCTTCTGCTAGAAGAATGGATACTCTCAATGATTTATTAGCAGCAAGTGACCTTGTTTCACTTCACTGTGCTTTAACAAATGATACAACAAACATAATTAGTGCCGAGTGTCTGCAGCACATAAAACCTGGTAAGATAGTTGCTTCCTATTTTCATATTTCTGTTTTCCCTTATATTTGGCCTTGACAGGCTAACTGGTTTTCTTAGTTCATAGTATAGCTTGCTCTGATTGACTATCTTTTGAGCCCTGCAGGAGCTTTCATAGTCAATACCAGTAGCTGCCAGCTGATAGATGACTGTGCACTCAAACAACTCTTGCTCGATGGCACTATTGCTGGATGTGCATTGGATGGCGCTGAAGGTCCACAATGGATGGAAGCATGGGTATGATGAAACTTAGATCTGGCTACAATTGATTTTTGTCCAAAGGGCTGTTTGAAATGAAACAGCCAAATATCTTCCTATAGAATAGTCTGTTCTTCTTTTCAGTACGCCTTATTTGAGATTCAGTTTCTTTCCAGTAAGCCTTCTTTGAGTTTCAGTTTCTTTCCCATGCGGAAGATTCAGTTCTGCTAGGATATGTCGTGACACTGTATTACAGTTTCCAGTTCACCAATTGCAGAAGGTGCTCCTTGTTAACATAACCACATATGTCAGTGAGGATAGGGAAGACAGTGCAAGTGATGTATATGTAGGAAACTTTCTTCTAGAGGCATAGACTATACAGTTAGATAATAGACCTGCCTACTGGTTCCAAGAGATACACAATTGATGCAATCTTTAGTTCTTTTGCCCTACGTATGGACTATGGTCACTCTACTATGAACTTCGGCAAGATAAGAGCATGTCCTGCCGCAAGGAAAATGAATGGTTAAGCACTAACTACGTTTTTTTTTTCAATAATAGGTACACGAGATGCCGAACGTGTTAATTCTTCCTCGAAGTGCAGACTACAGTGAAGAAGTGTGGATGGAAATCAGAGAGAAAGCAATCACAATATTACAATCCTTTTTCTTTGATGGCATTGTTCCAAACAATGCTATTTCTGATGAAGATGAAGCAATAAGTGATGTTGGATGTGAAGATGATCAGCTATATAAACAGGCAAATGAACACTCTTTGCGGGTCTGCGATGGTGAACAACAGACAGATGAAAGCCAACTAACTCTAGAGTGTGACAAGAGAAGAGCCATCTCCAAGCCTGAAGTTCCTGAAGCTTCAGGGCAGTCCCAAAGTATTGGCTTAAGATCGGAAGGAAGGCGTAGCAGATTTGGAAAGAAAGGGAAAAAGAGACCTGCGCGCCGCAGATCACAACAGAAAATGGATGAATTGTCAACTGTGGAGAGTGGAAGTAATTATTCTTCACGAAGAGATGATGATACTGTGATGAGTGGCCGGGACCAAGTGTTAAGTTCCAGTTCACGATTTGCTTCCCCCGAGGAATCCAAAAATAAGCTCAGGTCTTCTGCTGAATCTCCAATGGAAATAATTTCTGAACATAAGTTGCCTGCAGGGCTTGGTAGAAAGCCTCCTGAGAGGCTTAAAGATGGCTTTGTCGTTGCCCTAAGGACAAGAGATAATTTGGGTTTTCATGTTTCAAGAGAAAGAGTTGCTGGTGGTGGCTGGTATCTTGATGTTGTGTCAAATGCTACAAAGAGGGATCCTGCTTCTCAGTTCCTAATCACATTTAAAAACAAGGTGGTAGTCGGGTTTCCTCTGTCTCTCCCTCTCCCTCTTTTCTCTATGCTGTTCCCTAACCTGTCATGTATTTATTTTTTTGTACAACTACACATACATGTACTTATGATAGAATTTACACCTTTCAGGATACGATGGGATTGCGATCTTTTGTTGCTGGGGGCAAACTATTGCAGGTAATAATACCCTTTCCAGTTAGTACTCGTTCTCTGAAGATATGGTGAGAGGTGAATATAACACTAGTTGTGAAATTAAAGATTATGCACCGGTGTTCTTCTGTGCATGAACCTCTTGGTAATTTTTAGATGCAATGGCATCTATGGTCACGTCATTTTTTATGCTTTACCCATTGTCCCATTTTTTTGTTCTGGTTGAAAACTACCAACTTAATTCCATGATGTGCTTAAAATAAGTCCTAGTGTATCTGGTACTCCTCTTTCGTTCGATCTATTTTTTAGAGAATTTACTTTGAATAGTTGTGAAGTGCTTGCTCCATGCTCGATTCCATTGCAGGAGCTTCGAGGAGTTTATCAATAGAATCACTGATTTGTTCTTACATTCCACGATCCCTGTATAATTTTCAGCATTGAAAGTAAAATGCTTTATGTAGATTGCCGATTTACTATGTTTAACTCCCTTTTAAACTTGTTTTTAGGTTAATAAGAAGGCGGAGCTCGTATTTGCCAGTCATGCTTTCGATATTTGGGAGAGCTGGACGCTGGAAGGGTCTTTACTGGAATGCTGCAAACTGGTCAACCACAGAAATCCTTTGGTATGCCCATTTATGAATCACCATTTCATGCACATGACAGCAATATTTAAGAGTTATAAGATGCACACCTGTCCCCGTCAATGGTAATAGCGAATCTTTATTTTTATCACAAAACAGGACCCATTAATGTTCTGGACCAGGAAATTTCCACTGCCATTGACTAACTCGAAAATAAACAGTTCTGTTGGTAGTATCTTGTTTCCTGATGGTAGTTAAAATTGTCTGCAGGCTGTATTGGAGGTCTATATCGAGATCCTCGCAGCGGTGAGCGAAGAAGATGGCGTCACCAGGTGGCTCGATTGATCAAAATAACCCATCCATCTGCTTTAGGAGAACAGAAAGCAACTGACTCATCAGTGTTGTATTCTGGCCGGCCTGGGGGTTCATTCAGTTTTCTCATTTTTGCTGCCAAGTGTTCAGTTTTGGCCATTCTACCTATTGCAGAGACCTTGCAAAGCCACTGCGAATTGTTTCATAGTTTCACTGCTGTAGCCTGTACGAGTATCAAGTGTCGACAACAAGCGTACTGCTATTTCCAGTGGAGAAAATATCTAGTCTATTTACAGTTACTACTTGTTATCCTTCTCGATCTCTTCCTTCCACAGCTCCGGCCAGTTGGTCCGGGCCTCGTCGATGCCGAGCAGCGAGCCTTCTTTCTCCGGGTCCCAGCTCGCCGACAGCGTCCCGTAGGCGATGCCGAGCGCCGACGTGCCGAAGGAGAGGAGGATGGTGAGCAGCTGCACCCACGACGGCACCTCCGCGCCGCCCCCGCGCTTGAGCGCGTCGTACACGTTGAGGAGCGCCACGCCCGACGCCATCGGGACGCCCACCGTGAACAGGATCCGCCGGAGGATGCGGTCGAACACCACCTGCGGCAGCTCGTCGTCGCCGCGGCCGCCGCCGTCCTCCTCGCGGGCGGGCTCCACGAGCGACTCCTTCAGGAGCAGCAGCTGCTGCTGCTCCTCCCGCTCCCGCACCCGCTGCTGCTGCCGCTGCTTCTCCTTGCGGCTCGGCTTCTTGCTGCTTGTGCTGTCCGTGGCTGGCGTGCCGACGCCGCTGCCGTTGCCGGCCGCGTGTAGCCGCCGAGCTGGGGCTCGTCGTCGCTTCGACGGGGCTGCGTCAGGTGCCGAGAGGATGGACGTGGTGGCCCGGCTGTGCGTCCATGGATGATGGGTTTTTGGGGTGGGGTGAGGGGGCTGGAGAGCCGCTACGTGGAGCAAGGCGGCCATGCGCGCCGCCGGTGGATTGCAGGAGACGACGAGCTGCTCTCCCCTCTCGTGGCAATAACCTTATCGCCATGGGCAGTGGTCAGTGGTGGCACGTAACTGCATTCTCGATGCGTTCCTGGGTTGGGTGGCACGTGGGCCGGCCCCAGAAGAAATATCTCTTTCTTGCGCCCTGCTTGAAATGGCGAGTGCTACCGTACGTACGGGCTGAACTTAAGTTAAGCGATGGCAACGACGCAAACTTATGGCAACCGAAATTCAACAACTAAAGCAAACCATAGACACCAAAGTGACACAGGTAGTGCCGGGGAAGCATAGACGGACTTCCGTTATGTCGATCATATAAAGTTGCGAAGTACTCCTCGTACTACTGCTAGCCTTGATTATGCGCCGGCTGTATGCCTGCTGTTTGATTGAGTCATTGCTGTCTGTCATGCAAACAAACACAACCGGAGAAGAAAAGAGATCCGATCGACTAGCTTGTTGTCAAGAGCATTCGGTGCGCGAACGCGAAGGAAACACAGCCATTCGTCCGTCCTTGTCCATGGCGTTCACTCCTCGCGCTCGTAGCTCCCCGACGACGCCGACGCCGAAGCGTGGGCCGACAGACCCCGCGCAAGCTGGAGTTCCTGCATGGAGCAGCAAAACGGTTTGACGACACCAAAAACACAGTTGCAGTTCAATGCGGTGTATGGCAACGGCGACGTACGTCTCTGAACCTGAGGTCGTCCTCGAGCATGTGCACCACGTGCCCCATGGTGGGCCGCTGGCCGCCGTCGGGGTCGACGCACCGGAGCGCCGCGAGGACGGCGCGCTTCAGCACCTTGGACGGCGGCGCCTCTGGCAGCGTCGGGTCCAGCACCTCCTCCACCCTCCTCTCCGCCACCATGCGCTTCAGCCACTCCACCAAGTTCACCTGAGTCACCACGGAAAGTTCAGTTCCACTTCCACTAGAGAAGAGTGCACTGGCAGTGCATGCCGATCGAAGTGCGCGGGTAGGAAAAGAAAGAAAACGACGGCGAGGGCAGCTGACCTCCGCGGTGGGCCTGGTGTAGTCCACCGGAGTTCTGCCGGTTATCATCTCCATGACGAGCACCCCGAAGCTGTACACGTCGCTCCTCTCGTTCAGCATCCCGGTCCGCGCGTACTCCGGCGCCACGTACCTGCAGGCAACGCGACCAGGCGAATTGCTAAGCTGCGGCCAGGCAAACGAACTCTACGTAACGGTGCCATGGAAATTTAGTTGAGAGACTGACCCGAAGGTTCCCATGACGCGGGTGGTGACGTAGGACGCCTCGGAGCAGAGGAGCTTGGCGAGCCCGAAATCCGACACCCTGGCGTTCCACTGCCCGTCCAGAAGGATGTTGCTGGATTTGACGTCTCGGTGGACGATCTTGGGCTCCAGCCCTTCGTGAAGGTACGCCAACCTGAAGTTCGGGTAAAAGATGCACATCAGTTCTTGCTAGTGTGCACTGCGCACGCGTATCAGACTTTCGATGTTCAAGACATATGTGCCGTTTAAGCAAGAGTAGCACTGGCGATGTTGTTTTCAGCATTCAGATTTCAGAGTGACACACCACTTGTTAATCATGCCAACTAGCAGCAGTGATGTGCGTGCATAAAATTTGTTGTCTAGATACATACCATACTTCTTCTCTACTCCTAATCGACCATCTTTAATTTTAGGTTTTTTAATCCATGCTTTGTTGAATGATACGAAATTGAAGAATTGCCGTACCCTTTAGCAGTTCCGAGAAGTATGTGCATCCTTGTGTCCCAGTTGAGCTGACTAATTTCACCCTCCTCATGGTGCAGCCACTTGTCGAGGTTACTGTTCTCCATGTACTCATAGACCAGCATCCTATCCATCCAACCAAAGCAGTGACATGGATCAAATTAAGCAATGTTGTGAACAGAGGACAAACAGAGGTAACTGAAGAAATGTGGCACAGTTAAGCATTGCATTGCTCACCTGCAGGCGCCCTCGCTGCAGTAGCCGAGCAAACTGACCAGGTTCTTGTGCCGAACCCGCCCGATCGTCGCCACCTCCACCTTGAAATCTTTCTCGGCCTGGCCCCTGAAACCAAGGACGGAGCAGTTGGTGATCGCTGTTTTGAAATTTGAACATCTTGGGTCCCAGAAGGCCGCTGGAGGCAGTTACTGCTGGCCATGGTTGCGGAGTAGTACACGTGAACTGAAAATTCAAATCTGGTATCTGCCCCGAACAAAGTTGTTGCTCCCAACTAAACAAGAAAATAACACTTCTCCTGATCACACACATATCGGAAAACAGTGTGAAATTTCAGCGTCAAAAAACAGAAGAGTGCGGTTCTAGTGGGAGTTCTGCATTTTAAATCAATCCAGATTTCGAAGCTAACCCGGAACCTAGATCAACAAACGACGTGTGGCTTTCGGATTGCCTCGTAACGAATTCAAAGGAGGACATCATTTCGCGTTTCTAATGACAACAAATTCGAATGGTTGAACAATGTGCTGCCTGAAATTCAATTGGAGAAACTCGTGAGACACCGAAAAATTCGAGCACCGGGACGAGGATTACCTGTTGTTGTGCAGATTCTTGATGGCGACGAGGGTGGAGTCTCGTAGCACACCCTTGTAGACCACCCCGTAGCCGCCCTCCCCGAGCACGTTCTGGGCGGCGAACCCGTCGGTGGCCTCCTCCAGCTCCCGGCGCGTGTACCGGCGGCCCCAGCCGCGCTGCGACGCGTCGGCCCCCGCGTCGCTGGCGCCGCTCTCGGTGCTCCACCCGCGCGCGCTCCCGGCGATGCTCGTCCCCGTCTCGCCGCTAGTCCGCGCGGACTCGACCGTGATCAGCGGGGCCTTCTGCTCCGCCTTGATGACCTCGATCGGCGGCTGGAACGGCGGCTCGCACGGAGGCGGCGGGTGCCAGCGGATGGACTCCTCGACGATGTCCTTGTCCGCCATCGCCTGATGCAAGTGATGCTTCATGGACCTGGACGCGCCTCCGTGGTGCAGGCTCGGGGCGACGCGGGGGCATCGCCGGCGTCGGCGCCGGCAGCGGCAGAGGCAGACGGTGAGCACGAGGACGGCGAGGACGACCGCGGCCGCGGCCGCGGCGACCAGGACCCAGGCGCGGAGGCCGAGCACGGGGGTGCGCTGCGAGAGCCAGGCGCTCAGGAAGCCGACGCTCCACGCGGAGGTCTGCTGCTTGTGCTGCTGCTGCTGGCCGTGGAGGTGGCTGCGCTGCGGCGTCGGCGTCGGCGGCCGATGGTGGGGTGGGGGATGGGGATGGGGCACGCGGCGCGGGGGGCTCATGTTCACGGGCCGCGCCCGTCCGGCGGGCGGCGATAGCTTTCTTGGTGGCGCGGTCGGCGGCGATAGCCTTCTTCGCGGCGCGGCGGGCGGCGAGAGCTTTCTTGGTGGCGCGGTGGGGGCGGTCATGGCTGCAGGCTGCAGCCCGCGGAAGCCGAGCCGTGGAGTATGCATGCAGACGCAACGGAAGAGAGGAGAGGAGAGGAGCTTCTGTTGTTCTGACGAGTACGTGTGTGCGCGGTGAGTTGGAATGGGTTGAGACTTGAGTCTCCAGGCTTGAGAACCGAGAAACGAGGCAAGTCGTTGGAGAAGATCACGCGGGGAGCAACGTTAACTCAAGCTTTTCGGCGCTAATTAACGACCCGTTCAGTGGCTCCGTACCTTAGCTGCACGGCCCAAGAAAGCCCACGACCATAACTGCGTCCACTGTGATAAATGGGAGCAACTAACTAACGAGCGCTCCTTCGGGAGCCTCGCAACGATCAGTGCCACTTGGCGCGCTCATAGCCATTCGCCACGTATCGTGCTTTGGGCGCTCCCTCCGGATTTTATTTTTTTTATTTTTACGCACGTGTTTTTGGCTTTTTAAACGATTTTTTCGGTTTTTTTTGACGTTTTAGTTTTTTACCGGTCTTTTCTCGCTTTTCGACCAATTTTTCTTTCAAAAGAATAATTTTTTTGCGCAAAAAAATACATTTTTTTTCGCGAGAGTCACGATTTTGTTTTCGCGAGAGGCCCGGTTGTGCTTTCGCGAGAGGCACGGCCGTGCCTCTTGGAAACGAAAAAAAACATATTTTCTGTTTTTTTCTTTCTTTCGCGAGAGGCACGGTTTTGCTTCCGCGAGAGACACAGTTGTGCTTTCGCGAGAGGCACGGGCGTGCCTCTTTCGGAAAGAATAAAAAACGCGTTTTATGTTTTTTTCTTTCGCGAGAGGCACGGGCGTGCCTCTTTCGGAAAAGAAAAAAAAACGTGAGGCACGGTTTTGCTTCCGCCACAGGCACGTTTGTGCTTTCGCGAGAGGCACGGGCGTGCCTCTTTCGGAAAAGGAAAAAAAATGCATTTTCTATTTTTTTTCCTTTCGCGAGAGGCACGATTGTTATTTCGTCAGAAGCACGGGCATGCCTCTTTCGGAAAGGGAAAAAACCCCGTGTTCTCGGTTCGGTTTTTTTGTCGGTTTTTTTGTGAAAAAAAAAGTTCGTCAAAACCTATCAACATGGGATCTAGTTTTGAAGATCTCGACGCGAGGAATTCAATGACGAAAGCAGTTCGAGATTTGAATCCACGATTTAAGAGACAAAACATTTTGAATAAACGGATCTACGAAAAAAAGGAAAACTCTCAGGTTGCGACAAGTGACGCACATGCAGCGCGCCACTTATCGCAACATGGGGAAGCTGGAGTGATCTTCGCAAGGAGTACTCTTTAATTAATGATTTCGGTGATAAATGGCTTACCATCTCTCATCAACGGGATGTGATCGATCGTATGGCCCGCTGAACTGGATGCCTTACCTGACGTTTTCCTTTTTTTGAGAATCCTGACGCTCTAACCGTCGCCTTAACGGCAGGATCGATCGCTTGCTTATCGCCATCCAAGCGTCTGTTCAAAATTAAGACGGAGCCACTGCCCCGATTCCTGACTCACGCAGTCACGTGTGCCTTTCCGCCGTCACATAGTTCTCATCTTTCAGACGGTAGGAAGACACTTACTGCTGCTACGGCCTACGGGGCGTCCAACCTAATTAACCAGCAAAAGCAAGTTGCTGCAACGTGGTACTGCTGCAAGTGCTAACTAACCATCTGATGATTGACTGAACGGCCGTGCGATCTTCAATGGCCCTTTTGACAAACGCTGGTGTAAAAAAGGCAACCTTCAAGCACCATCGAGTACACAGGTTAATTAGTGGCTTAGCTCGTACTGCAAGGGCGGGCAAGGTAACGGCGTCCTCTCCGTGACGCGCAAACTGCCGATTAGTGTGGACAACCCCTCAAAAAATACAAAAATAAAGTGGCCAAGGCATGGCATCGACGAACGATGACGCATGTTGTATGGGCAGTGGGAGCCGGCCGACCGGCACCTGTTAAAGAAAATGAGACCAACTCAAAGGCTAATCCTCATTGGGATTTTTTTATAAAAGAAACTATTAAACGGCTGGCCTGTGGCATGTTTAGCACACTGGTCCATCTGTTTTTAGCCTGTTGGGCTGCATTTTAGGCCTATTGGATTGTAATTTTGGTCATATATATAAAAAAATTCTGGAAAAATAATAATAAAAATAAACGGGTCGTGCTGTGCCAGCCCGCGTGCCCAGCCTCTAGGCCCAGGCATGGCCCATGGCGTGCCGCGTGTCAGGCCTGGTCCGTGCCGTGCCTGGGCCGTGCCGTTCCTATGTGCTACCGGGCCGGCCCATTTGGCTAGCTATAATCATATAAGTAAATGCGCACAATCAAAATCAGAGACTCACAAGAAGATATCACAGCATAACTATAGACATAAATAAAATAATACAAGTTTTATATTACAAGACAGGCGCCTCGATGACTCGAATACATAAGAGTCAGCAGAAGTAACAATATCTGAGTACAGACATAAATAAACAAGTCTGCCTTAGGAAGGCTAGCGAAACAAAGATAATTGGACCGAAAAGGCGCATGCCTCCTGCCTGGGAGCCTCCTAACTACTCCTGATCATCGGCGGTCTCCACGTAATAATAGGCTTCGTCGGGGTAGTAATAGTCGTCGGCGGGATCAGCTGGCTCCTAGACTCCGTCATCTGATCGCATCAATCGGGTAGAGGGGAAAAGAGATAGCAAAGCAACCGCGAGTATTCATCCAAAATACTCGCAAGACTTACATCAGATCTATACTAAGTATGCATCGATAGCAAAGAAATGGGGCTATATCTTTGGACTAGACTGCAGAAATGCCAAAATAGAAGGGAAGGCCTAGCCTATCAAAGAATAGCATCTTGCAGCAACAGAAGAGAGTAGAGTAACATATCATAAGTAATAAGTTTGTTGTAGTATCAATAAGTAATAAGTTTGTTGTAGTATCAACGGCCAGAGATCCTTCCCGACTCCCTGCGAGAAAGCGATCCCGGAGCCATCATATCCATTTAGTGTCTTCTATATCCAGTTCTAGTTGTAATAGATCGGGATACAACTCCGAGCGTCCATTATCCTAGACACGACTATTCGAATAGATATACTTCCCTGTAGGGGTGCACCAACTTACCCAACATGCTCGACTAACTCCGGCCGGACACACTTTTCTGGGTCATGTCCGGCCTGGGCTGATCGACACACGTATTCCTACATGTTGGGGAACTTGCATTGAAAACAAAAAATTTCTACGCACACGCAAGATCTATGCATGGAGATGTATAGCTACGAGAGGGGAAGAGCATCTTCATACCCTTGAAGATCGCTAAGCGGAAGCGTTTATCAATGCGGTTGATGTAGTCATACACTTTCACGATCCATCCCAATCAAGTACCGAACGTACGACACCTCCGCATTCATCACACGTTCATCTCAATGATGTCCTCGCCTTCTCGATCCAGCAAGAGAGGCAAAGTAGTAGATGAGTTCCAGCAGCACGACAACATGGTGACGGTGGTGGTGAAGAACAATCTTCGCAGGGCTTCGCCAAGCACAACAACAACTATGACGGAGGATAAACTAGAGGGGACGGGGTTGCTGGCACACGGCTTGGTGATTCTTGATGTGTCTCGTGTGCTAGCCCTACCCCTCTATTTATATGTTGAGCCCTGGGGTCAAATCTTGGAGTAAAAGCCTCCTCAAAGTCGGTTTTGCCCGAAAGGTAAGAGTCCTTCTTGGACTCCAGGACCAGACGCCAGGGTCCCCGGCGTCTGGCCCCTGGCCTATGCAAAACTGCCTTTTGCACTTACCAAAAAACCACGTGGGCTTTATCCCTTGGCCCAAATAAAGTGTTCTCGTACCCGAATGTTTCGGCAAACATCCGAAACCCCTTCCGGTGAATTCCGGAACCTTTCCAAAAGCCAAACACTATTATCCCATATATCAATCTTTACCTCCGGACTATTCTGGAGCTCCTCGTCATGTCCATGATCCCATCCGGGACTCCGAACAACATTCGGTCACCAGCATACATAACTCATATAATACTATATCGTCAACGGATGTTAAGCCTGCGGACCCTACGGGTTCGAGAAAGATGTAGACATGACCTAGACGCTTCTCCGGTCAATAACCAACAGCGGGACCTGGATGTCGATATTGGTTCCTACATATTCTACGAAGATCTTTATCGGTCGAACCTTTATGACAACATACTTAATTCCCTTTGTTTGTCGGTATGTTACTTGCCCGAGATTCGATCGTTGGTATCTTCATACCTAGTTCAATCTCGTTACCGGCAAGTCTCTTTAGTCGTTTTGTAATATACCATATCGTAACTAACTCCTTAGTCACTTTGCTTGCAAGCTTTTTGTGATGTGTATTACCGAGAGGGCCCAGAGATACCTCTCCGATACACAGAGTGACAAATCCTAATCTCGATCCATGCCAACTCAACAGATACCTTCGAAGATACCTGTAGAGCATCTTTATGATCACCCAATTACATTGTGACGTTTGATATCATACAAGGTATTCCTCCGGTATCCGGGTGTTGCATTATCTCATAGTCGAAGGAATATGTATTTGACATATGCTAAGCTAACGAGTGGGTCTCCATCACATCATTCTCCTAATGATGTGATCCCATTATCAAGTGACAACACATGTCTATGGTTAGGAAACCTTAACCATCTTTGATCAACGAGCTAGTCTTAGTAGAGGCTTACTAGGGACACGATATTTCTTTATGTATCCACACATGTATTTAAGTTTCCGATCAATAAAATTCTAGCATGAATAACAAACCTTTATCATGAATAAGGACATATAATAATAAAAAATTTATTATTGCCTCTATGTCATATTTCCATCAGTCTCCCTCTTACATTAGAGTCAATAATCTAGATTACATTGTAATGAATCTAACACCCATGGAGTCTTGGTGTTGATCATGTTTTGCTCGCGGAAGAGGCTTAGTCAACGGGCATGCTGTTGGAGATATGCCCTAGAGGCAATCATGTATGATGATATTTCCTATGTGTTTATGAATAAAGATAGTCCTTGGACATTATCA